GAGCCGGAGGGCTGCATGGCGGGGGCGCTCATGGGCCCCGGGGCGCCGGGCGGCGGCGGCGGCCGGGCGCTGGCCTCCTGCTCCAGGCGCACTTGGTGCTGCAGCTGCTGGATCTTCAGGGGGTCCCTGGGGAGAGAGAGAAAAGCGACACCTTCAGAGAGGGAACTAGAAGGCACGTCCGTCGGGGGCAGTGAGGTTAAGTCGTGGACACGGCAGACCACGTCTGCCAGCTCCACGCTGCGCCCGCTGAACGAGGCGCAAGCTACTGGCCTGAGTGTGTTTGTTGCCTGTCGTTAAATCCTGGACCCAGTGCTAAGTCAATTCCGTGTGATGGGTTAGCGCGAGATCTAATTTGAGTTTTACCTAAGGTGAGTCAAATCAGTTTACGAGTCGGGATGGATATTTTGCCTGACTTAACAGGACCAGAAGTATTAAAAGGAAAACTTTTGACATGACTCTCAGCCCTCTCATTTGTTGCCAATTTTTGGAAAAAGAACTCTTATCAGAATGAGAAAGTTAAAAGAATAAAATGGTCGATTTAAGTTATTTTTGGCAGATTTATGTTAGTCCAATTTGATAGCTTCAATGCTGTCAACTCTGCCTCCAATAAGTACCGCAGGCTTGAATCCATTTTTAATTTCTGCATTTGTTCCCTAAAAAAAGTACAAAACTTACCGTAGCTGAAATTTTAGTAGTAGACCCTGAAACGCCATTTATATAAAACTTAACAAATACTCATACTGATATTTTGTGCCATATCTAAAACGCATGCAAATGACATCTGTTGTTAACATGTAGGTGTTTAATAAGCAATAACATATTATTAATTATATAGTAATGCAGTTTTAATTCCCCAAGTATTTTCCATTGGGAAGAGACTGAATTTTAATTTTCGAAAAAGAAGTTAGTAAGCTGCTAGCAATTAGTTAAAATCTTACTCTGTTTTACTCAGAAGTTTTCCTGTTTAACTGAATTTTATATCCAAGATGTTTTCCTTTGTTCATGGCAGAGAGAGACGGACGGCTATCAAAAGAAACTTCAACAGAAGGTGGCACTATAACGAGCAGATAAAACAGGAACGATGCCATGAATAGGAAAAGCTATGCTCTTCACTTCAAACCTTTTTAAACTAAAAGACAAAAACCCCAAATCTTCCTTATCCATAGGTATTTAATCTCTACACTCAAGCTTTCATAATTTCAAAGCACTGAAAAGAATTGAAGCTGCTGGCAAGAAGTAAAAAAACAAGATTTTGATGTGTTACCAAGTATCATTAGCCATGGGAACATCAGCAAAAATCTTCTAAATTTCTTCCTGTGTCTTCTGTTCACTCTGGATAATTATCCAAAAAAGTGATTACACTTAAATTCATGAAATAACAGAGCAAGAAACACTTTCTGGGGACCTGGAAAGTATAAAGATAAGATATTTCTATATGCTGAATCTGTGCAGAGCATCAAAGATTCTAACACCAAAGAACTCCATGAAGTCCTATGGAACTTATTCTGAGTTTTTTAAAAGCAGCCATGCCACTGCTGGGATTCACCAGGACACCAAAGTTCCAGATGTCTGTGTGGTTTGGGTAGCCTGTCCAGCACATGTGCTCCTGTGCTCATGTATTTAGAACTGGCCCAAGAATAGAACTCATAAAAACCACCCCACCAGCTTTAAAACCCGTCATCCAGCACTCTAATTCTAAACCCACAAACGTTCCTTTCTGATCTTTCTGCCATTACCATCTCCTACTTATTTCCTAGCTATGGAAAAATGCACCTATTTTTGGAGTGTTTATCATCACCATTCAACTGACCTGTGCACCTGGACTGGGAGTGATCTGTGTGGCCTTCCTAAAAGGCACTGCACCCTAATCTGGGTCACCCTGGGCTCATAAAGACCAGAGTCACCACTGTTAATTTTAAGGCAGGGGTCCCCAACCCCCAGCCATGAAGCTTCATCTGTGTTTGCAGCCACTCCCCCAGAACCAGCATCACCGCCTTAGCTCCACCTCAGATAATCAGGCATTAGATTCTCATAGGAGTACCAGTCCCTGCTGCCAAAAAACGTTGGGGACCGTTGTTTTAAGGTACTTTAAGCTTGGCTTGGCATCAGCAAATAGCTATGTAATGGCTCTGGCGAGGCTGCTACAAACATATCATGCCTTGTATGTGATGTGAGGATTCCTCTGCCCAGGGTTAGGGAGTGGCTCCTGAGAAGCCAGTCTTCAAAGGAGCCAGGGCAGGAAAGCACAGACCACTACACTGGTTCTAACTTTTTTCATGGGGTTAAGCATACTCGTTTGGGCATTTAAAAAACCCATCAAGTTTGCTAACCCAAGTGGGCTCAAAGCTGCTGAGATGCTACTTTTAATAATAAGTAACAGTTCAAGAAATTATTTATGTGGCATTTCACAAGAAACAAAACTAGTGTTTTGACTACTAGTGTATCTTGCAATGAACTTTGCGAGGGTTCCCCCCACCCGCAGCATGCACTGGGTGAGGAATACAATATGCAAGGAATTGGAGAGGTGGGGAAAGGGAGAGCAAAGCAGTAATTTTTCATCGTCAAGTGTCTGACTTAATTTTTGTGCGAATCATCGTTTAAAAAATACTTGAGTTAAATGGACCTGACATTGGTTCTGAGATGATGAGATGCACAATTCCAAGTTGTTTTCTCCGTCCTCATTTTTTTAAATAAAAGTTGATTTTCACCAAGATAAAAAGGCAAAGGGAATGAAGGGTACCAGAAAGGCAAAATTGCTTTGCGGCCTTTGGAAATTACTTAAGAGTTATTTATTATAAAAGTTCATCGCTTTTCTGCTGTCCTTTCTCTGAAAATGAAATAAAATGAAACTGAATTGAACCTCTTGAAAATACTGTGTGAAGGTTGAAAAGTTAGGTTAAGAGTCCATTTAGACAGCCCTAGTCACAAGTCTGAGGCTCGTTAAAGTCTTCAGTTTTGCACAACTACTCCATCGAACCCCTCCCAGCTTCCTTTTTCCCTCTCTCTACCACACCCCCAATTCAAAAAGACTAAGAAATTCCTCACTCTTACCCCTCCTTCTATTCTAAAGGTTCAATGCTTAAGGAAATGAGACTTGTAGATTTTTTGTTAGGGACCTGTCACAGTCTATTTACAAACAGGAGAGGCTACTTTGCTCAAGGTCACTGAGCAAGTTACCTGCAGAGCCAGGTTAGATCTGTGTCTGTCCCTGGCTCCCTTTGCTACACCAGGCATGTCAACATAAAAGGACCTGAACTAGCACTAGACTTGGGGGTGGGGTTGCTTTGTAAGTTATATAAATGTCTAACCACTATGCTATATGCCTGAAACTAATATCATACTCAATGTCAAGTGTCATTGGAAAGTTTTTTAATTTTAAAAAAAGAAGTAAAAAAGAAGTATCTTCAATATATATATATTTAAATCTGTAGTCATCTTCACTTCTTAGGGATTTAATTGTTATCCCTCCTTGCAGCCATAGCATCCAAGGCCTTTAGGGTCTGAATTATCAGTCAAGATTTTAAATATTTACATATTTAAGAGTATATTTAAAGTGATCTGACTTCAAACTTGATTCTTTTTAGGGTGAAATGGTGAAAAGATGAGAAGATTTTGGAGCTCAGGAACGGAAAATGTAAACACTAACTCAGTGGACCGAGCTTCTATATTACAGAAAATCATGAGCCTCCCTACCCTACCCCAAGGGCTTGGGCACAGCTTGTAAGGAGAATAATTTTACAGATATTTGGATGGGGCAGAGATTCAGATTTGACAGAGAGATTTGGAAACCAATTCACTTTCCAATTCAGTAACCTCTCCTGCCACTAAAGCTGCCTTGGAGAAAGTAACCAGCTGAGCAGCAGCGTGGCATAGAAGAAAATGAACAGACTGGCGGTAAAATGGCACTGGCTTAGAACACAACTCTGCTAGCTACTACCTGTGGGGTCGTCGTGAGGATTACATGAGTACAGTGCCTGGTGCACAGGATGAGCTCGATAAATATTCCACGGCAGAAGAGAACAGCCCCATCAATCCTGGTTACCTTATAAAGTGGGCCTTTAAGAAATGAAGATAGTGTTCTATTTATCGCAGGAGATTTTCCTCTTCATCTGTCCCCCTGTAGGTAGCTGGCAAGGGGAACAGCAATGGCACGTGGGGACATAGGAAACTGGAGATGGGTGATGAGCTCCCAGACCAGCTAAGATGGCCTTAGTGGCTGTTCCTCACCCTTCTACTCACAAAGCCAAATTAGGGGTGGAAGGTGAAGAAGGGACAGCACTTATCATGTGCCCGGCACTGGACTGACTCAGTTACGACAACCTGGGTGGGGGTGAGGGGTGGTTATCCCCATAGGTTAGTGAGGTCAAGTAATCGAAGGGCAGAACCTGGAGGTGAAGTGCTCAGGAAACAAAAAAGGTTTATTAAAGCATTAGTCATTGTTAGCGTGTGTCACTTTTTCTCTGGGGAACTGCGGCCCCGGCTCAAAATAAAGGATATGAAAGTAAACAAATTTCTGGAAAACAACTTTTCTGTAAATCGGAAATTGCCAGTATGTCTCTCTGGAGCAATGTCTGGATTGCGAGAAGTAATTTATCCCCAGTTCATACTAATAAGGATGGAGTATCTGTAATGGTCTGGAGAAACTCCTGGGATCGTGACGCTGGAAAACATTTGTGTTTTCGGAGTACGTGCACCGTTGGTTCATGTGTTTTATTTTTTATCGTGTGGTACGGAAGCCACTGTGTGACGCAGAGTTGTGGTACCGTATGCACCTCTGACCATGGGCTGCCCTGCCACCTGCAAGCACTCTGAAGGCAGCCCTGGGACTGTCAGCATCCTCACAGCACTAAACGTAGCATACGTGTCACCATCGATGAGGACGACGATGTTAACTTCTGGCTGCGACTTCTGTACCCTGCTGGGTTCGTTGGGCACGTGCAGCAGGGCGGTCCTACATCAGAGGGCCCCATATGGACTGGGGAATTTTAAGAATTTTCCAGTGAATGTAGTTAAGTGAATTAGGGGGCAAACCGCTGGGTGTTCACACAACATAGTTCTCTTTCGGGCTGGGATTCGCTCAGGATCATATATAGGAGAGAGCTCAACACATTAATTCTGAGAACTTAGAAAATAGAATATGAACTCCTACAAGGGCTTCAGTTCAGGGAGTACTCATTAAGTTCCATCTACAACTCTGTTGTATTCATACTTCAATTGTCTTGTTCTTATTGTTATTTGTGATTCCATTTATGCCTTCATGTCATAGAAACTGGGTCCACTTGGTGAGAGTTAATCTCTAACGGCTTGCTTTGTTTAGCACTAATTTATTATTGCTCCTCAGTAAAAGGTATATAAATCACAATCTTAAGAACAATCATTTATGCAATAAAAATAAGTTAACTTAAGCCAAATGAGAATGTATTACATTGGGTTTAGGGGAAATAATTAAGTACAAAAATAACTGAAATTAAATATATTCTTCATAAGTCTGGGGGAGAGGGCAGTGATAGATTTGGATTTTCTACAAACTACAATGAACATGAGAATGCTAAAATCAAATTAAAATTGACCACTGCTTGAGAATGCGTGTTTAACATGCACTGCAAAATGACACAGGTTTCTTTATAAAAGCCCATTCTTTGATCTTTAATTCATTCTGAGCCTTTTGTACATCACGCTGACTCTCTAGACAGAGCCAGTACTGAGCACAATTAATTACATAGGAGGGTTCAAGAAAGAAGTGACCTGAGTGAAATCAGCACACGACTTGAGTCTCTTTCAGAAAGACTCGTCTTTTCCTCTTAGAATAAGAACTGCATTTGGCTCTGGTACGGAAAAACAGTAGCTCTTTATGTCGTAATACATAAAGCTGATCTCTATTTGAAGTCATTCCATGTACCATGAGAAGGAGAGGGAGCAGTTGCTGACCAGTTCATTATCCTCCTGGGAACGTCTCCAGAATATCAAAGGGTGGCTGTGTCTCTCATGTAGCACAGGGATCAAGGACTGAGAGGCTAGGAGATGGTGTTCTGACAAGGGTCAATACCAACATGAGCTGTTCATTAGACCTCAAACCCTGCAGCTGGCTGCCCAGATGCAGAGAATTCTCCTTCTCGAGGCCTGTAGAGATCCAACAGTCCATGGGGTAAATGGTCCCTGGCTTTGTGAAGGCTGCAGGACGTGGTCCAAGGCACTTACAGCCCCACCAAAAGAAAAGGAGGTATCCCAACACGGATTGTATGTGATGAGGGACAGGCTTTGATGGTGTTTACAGTTGTGATAAGTCTGATGAAACTGAGTGACGTGGAACTCTGGCATTTCAGCCTTAACCTTTTTTGGGGGAGGAATGTGAGGTCAGGTTCTGAAGGCATCGACTCCGCATCACAGTTAAATGCCTTAAATAATTCTCATTTCTACTGCTGCATAGGCCAGTGAAAACAGCTTGAAGATATTAGCTGCTGATTCTTATAAAAGCTATGCTAATTTAATGGACATTAAAAGGAATTAACATGGACTGTTCCCAACTGAAAATGTTTGGTATTAATTCTTAACATAGACAAAGTACACTTTTTAAGAAAAATCTGTTTTCCAATCTTTTTTGTCAATACTTAAGGCAAAATCAGTGATCTCATTTCCAACTGAAACACCAAAGAAACGCTGCCTGAGAGACAGATGTTGAGGAAGTTTAAGGTCTTCAGCATAAAATTTCTCTGAGATTTTAAAGAATTAGAGGAAAAAAGATGGACAGATACTAAACTTTCGGCCTTACGATGAAATAAAGAACTTGGCATGTTTTACTATTTCATGTAACTCATGTTTCCTCCAATTTCCATTTTATCACTGAGAGACTCGTCCCACCGCTTGTGTGTCCTCTGCATTTTAGTTCATGCTGCCGAGCTGAATGTCTCTAAAACTGTGCAGTGCAGTTTGTTATTTGTGAGAATGAATTATTTCTAAGTGTCATACCTTTTCAATGAAATAACCATTACCTATTTACCAAATGGCTTTAATTCTACTGAAAGCACAAAACAGCCATCCTCTCACTTCTCTACTCCTTCCAAACGTTTTACCTTCCATATCTCCCTCTCCACTCACATGTAAAAGGCTCAATAAATATTTCTTGAATTTAATTAAAATCCTCATTTCTCTAAAGTACAAAATTAGCTGTTCCAGCAAGCTATACGGCACTCAGGAACACGGTGGTGCATTTTTCTAAAGGAGCACAGCTACCCTGCAGATAAAGCCACAGCTGCACAGGTTATGTACAGGTAAGAACAAGGTCAACCAAATGTTCAAATAGTTTGACTCCCGTTTAGCGATTAGCTATTTGACTGGATAATTCACTTATCCTCTCTGGGATCCAGCTTCTCAACTTTAAAAGTGGAAATTTATAAGGTACTATCTGTAAGGTCTCAATAAACTTTCAGATTTTATTATCCTTACTCTTTAGTCCAGTAATATTTGAACATTATAAAGAAATTAATTTTAAAGGAACTTGTAAAGAACTAACCAAGTCTCACTATGGTGTTTATTTGTATACATGTATTAACCTCATGCATATGCTGTTTTCATATCCGTTTCAACTATTTTTGAAAAATGGACGTATAATTTTTTTGATAAAAAGAAATAGATTTTAAAGGCATTAAAGGGGCAAACTGAAATCATTTCGCAGTAAATCTTATAAAAAAGATACTTTTTTGGAAGGAGGAGGATAATTTTATACCATGAATAATTATCACCTACTTGGCTAATATTAGTTGTTTTTTCTCTTAAGACAGATATACCTGTAGATAAACTCTGTCCAAAAATTAAGAAAAAGTAGTTTTTGGGTTTTGTGTGTCTTGAAACGGTTCCTATGG